TTGCACATATGGCTCAAAGTATGAAGATACTAGTACAAATAAAGTTTGAGATAATTTATAATTGATGGTTAGAAGTTATCTCATCTTCTTCCTTTGTGATTTGACACTGATTACTATCATCTCATACGTATTAAGGTTCAAGGGTCAAAAAGTCGACTAACTTTCTTTTTATCCTTTATTATATGATTCCTTGCACCAGATAGACAAGAAGGAAATAAATATAAAATAGGACATTAGAATAGAATTATTTTAGGGAGAGAAGAGGACAAGGGGCATCTTCCCAAGAGTCAATTAATAACAAAAAATATAAAGGAAAAATGATGAAAAGGAAAAAAATGGAGAAAAAAGATACTCCAATGATAAACCTTATTCATTTAGGTTTATTAAGAAATTAGTTAAAATTAGTTTAAAATAATAAATATGTAAAATATGTATTTTTTTCTCAAATATCTTCTTATTAATAAAGAAAATAAGTAAAATATATAATAAATAAATTAAAAACAAAGGAGAATATATGGGGTAAAATTTAAATACTTAGACAAAAATAAATATTATCTTATTAAAAAAATCAAACCCTTACAATAAAAATTATCTTATAAGAGGCTAGTGGAGGCCCATAAAGATCTGGGCCCACAAGCCCAAGCGATCCTCTCCCCTCTGCACAGTGCCCAGGAGGCAGCTGCTTGCCCTCTCTTTCACAGCTCGTGGAACGCATGCCTCTGAATCTTTCATGCACTCAAAACGCTGTCGTTTCTTGCTGCCAAATCCCCCACAGGGAACTCGTGGTTTCAGCTCCAAATTCTGAGTCCCCAAAACGGTGCGTCTGATTCTAAATTTCTAATGGAGAAACAAACAAACAAAACAAAACAAAACAAAATAAAAGGAAAATGGAAAGAAAAAATAGGTAAAGTAAAACTGAAACTCTTCTTTCATTAGAAAACTTTAAGTTATTATTATTAATTTTGTAAAACTAAACTATCTCTATTTTAATTAATTTAAAACTACTATATTTGTGATGGAAATCCCTAAATTAATGCTCAAAACTAATTTCTCTAATTAGCTCATGTAAATCATTTAAAATTGCAATGATAACTCTCCAAGTGTCCTTAAAATGTTCTTTAAATATGCTAAGAATGGAGAACTATCACTAGATATTTATTACATTTCATTAGTTATTAATAATTATCGTTTAGCAATTAATAACATCATTTATTCAAGTCATTTGCAACTTTTGCTCACTATGGGGGTGTTTGGATGGAAATTAAACCATGGTTTCAGAAGTGCTTTTACGGTTTACGAAGTAAATATGTGAAGGAGTTTATCCCGTTTTGTGAAAAAATACTTCTGAGAAACACTTTTCGGGGTTGCCAAACATCCCTTATATTTCATTTAACAACTAACAAATATACTCTTTCATTTTATTGATTGCTTTCCATAAAAGGCAAAGGCCTTGTAGTTCTAAAGATGGGCTAACCCACTTTAATTCTTGGGTCATCCTCAGCTACTGAACTTTTTATGTGAGAAATATGGGATATTATTATTAGGATGTTCTTGAAGAAGCTATTATGTTCTTGATATTCTGTTTCATTTTTCTTCCTTGTTCATTTGAATTATTATCAGTTGTGGATTCTGCATCATTTCATTGAACACTTGAAGTGCATCTCATCATTAATGTAGGCTGTACGTAATGACACAAAGGAAGCTGTGGGATACATATTCCATTGAGATGGGACTCTCACATCAAGTGATTTCTTACTTGCTGCTCTTATGTTTTCTGACAAGTGAAGTAAAACCGGCACGAGTGTCTTGGCCTCTAAAACTCAAGAACAAGTCGTAAGTCTGGGAAGAACTAGAAGAAGAAGAAGCCATGGCTTATTGAGGGAATCAGAGAAGAGGGCAACAAACGCTTCAACGGATCGATCACAATTCATCGCAAGGCATAGAATATCGATACGGCATCCCCGGGAGTGAGAGATCAAGTCTGAATACAAACAAGTCAGTCAATCATAATTTTTTCTTCCTTTTTTTTTTCTCGCCAGAAGTCGGTCGATTATAATTGGGTTAAGTTTTCGTTTAGGCTTTCTTTGGAAATCAGCCACCCAAAACACTAGTGTAATCATCTATAATTTTATGCTTTGTCGAGATATCCAAAGTTGACCATAATTACTTGATACTTCAATTCAACTAAATATATCATATTGTGGTGATCTCATAGTTAGGCTAGCTATACAAATTATCGTATGCAATCCTCCGACATCGCAGTTGTGTTGCGCGGAGTCCATATGAACGTGGGGCCTTTCCCTCTTTCAGTCAGTGACATGTTTATTTTTATTTTAACTTTCTTTTCATTAGTTTAGGTTGTGAGAAAAATACTTTGCTCAATATATTGATCTTAAAATAAAATACAAAAAATAATTTCATTTTGATTTGTCTTTAATCCTTAATTTGATGGTTTCATTTTTTTTTAATATTTGAGTTCTTTTTTATGCAATTACTTTAAAAATTGGCTAAAAATTAAAGAAGAGTATCATTGTGTTGTAAATGTTATACTTTTTCTCTCTCTCATTTTTTTTCTCCCCTCTATCTAAACACAATGAGGGATAAATAGGTGTTGTCTTTCCTAAAATATTCTTGCTAATCAGGTTTATTGGCTAGAACTACCATTATTAGAGGGACTATCTTGGAAAAAATACATAAATATGGAAGACAAAATGGATTAAAGTCTTATAATTAGGACCAAAATAAAAATCAAACGAGATCTTATATTAAGGACCAGAGGTAGTATTATTTTCTTGACATGGCTCCCAACATATGAAGCCACCTCATTACTTCATGCATCAAAACTTCCACAGTGATAAATCGTTAAGTATGACATTCTCCTTAAGCAAAAATGATTTTTTTTTTTGTGAGCAAAAATTCAATAGTTGATGAAATTAAACACACTTTATTCATTATCTTGCTTAAAAGGGTCGATAATTATCTTTTTCCCTTTCTAAAAATTACAGCACACCAGAAGCAAGGGGGTTATGTCACAACCCGAAATCAGTTTTTGCAACAATTTTTTCAATAACCTGCCACGCTTAGAATATCATAAATCAAGTATTATCTTCTTCACAAGAAATTGAGGCCCGATACTTAAAATAAGCTCCACTGGTAGCTCAGAGCGAGATGTAATACTTCTTTCTTTTTTCAAGGAAAAAAAATGGAAAATTATATTGAAATACTAGAAACACAAGTCCAGAGCATAAAGCAGTAATAGAAATCAAAAGACATTAAAAAAAAACTAAATAAAACAGTACTAACAAAACAATCATCCATTATCACAAACTCCTGCTCCATCTGAAATTCTGAATCCAATAAAGTTCGCAAGGGGATTTATCTGATGTGAAGATTGCCTCATTTAATGATTCATTAATAGTAGAATCCATAGTTGTAGCCATAGTCAAACATTCATCCATCAAAGCAGACTCACAGAGGAATTGAATTTACCACATATTTTATTAGCAATTTCTTGCTTCAGATAGCAATTTCTTTTGCCACCCTTATCCCCCCCCTTTCAAAAAAAAAAAAACTTTATCAACAACAAAGTCCAAAGCTTGAGCCCATTTAGCTTCCTAGAGCATCTACCAAATCTATCTGTAATTTCTGTCCAATATCTTCTTTTAACCCGCAAGCATGCCTGATTTCTTATCATCTCCCAGCTGCTTTGGAAGAAGTTCCCTGTGAAGCCATAAGGTCCAGGCCCTTGAGTTCCTCCCATTTCATGAACAGCAGCCTTAACTTCATCAATAGACGCATCTATCCTCAACAATTCATTGATTCCTGGACTGAAAAATCTCTGCTACTTGATGAGGTTGAAAGGTCTTCCATTAAAATCTTCGAAAACCATTGCAATTCCCCCTTCTGTCTCCAACCAGTTGTCATCATTAGCCTTCATCAACTTCACAATATTATTTCTGCATCTTCTCTGAATTGTAGTCATATGAAAAATAAAAAGGTATTTTCAGCCCAATGAAGTTCTTCCTGCTGCCAAAGCTTATTGATTTTATTTTTCAGATCAGCCACTTCCCTTGCAATATTATCATTCCTAGGACCTCGTCAATTTACCAATCAAATCATGCTCACATTACATTGCATGAGCAGAGACACCATAGAACAAGGAAAAATTTATTAAGGAGGATTATATGATGGGTAGTGAGGCATTTACTTGAAAATTTTAATTTACAATGCTGAAGGAGGATTATATGATGAGAAGTGAGGTATAATTAAGATACACTTTATTAATTTTTTTGTGATCTTTTTATCTATGGGCCATTCCTAGGTGTAATATTTGTTTTTGCATTATCTTTTCAGTGTTCTGTGTGAATTTTTGCAGAACAAATATTGAAATAAGGTCAATCTCTCGAGTAGTGAAGTGAAACAAGAAGTCCTTGAGAAAGTTATCTGATACAGGAGTTATCTTGGAGGACCACAATGAAATTTTACTTATTGTTTGATCATAATCTTCAAATATAAATATAAATAGTTGAATTTCTTATCTCCACAATTTTATTTTCGTTAAATGATTGTTGAATTTCAGAGATGGTGAAAACCATGTTCTCAGTTATAGTTGAGATAGAGAATTATTTGCCAATTTTTCTGACAGCAATCAAAATTCTTTGTATCTTGATGGGGGTAGTGCACGAGATCCGTATTCCTCACACAAGACATGCAGATTACAGAATCAATCTGACTGTTAGTGGTGATTATTATTTTAAGAAGCTTTCTCACAAACTAGCATAACAATTACATGTGCATTTAGATTTTAGCTTATTTGGAATTTGTGGTGCAAGGTCAAGGTTTCTTATTCTCCCCCGTTTCCTGAAAAACCTTTTGAAGATGAGAAGTCTTGTTCAGAAACATGTTTGCTGAGTATTATGGCTTATCACATGCAGTTTTAGGAAGCTGACTTTTCTTAAACAATTACTTCCTTCTTAATTTTGGGTCCTCAAGTATCATTATCTTGCTTAAGAAGGTCGCAATTGTCATTTTCCATATCTAAAAGTTGCCGCTGCATCAGAAATACTGAGGCTATATTACAGACCGAAATCAGTTTTTGCGACAATTAGGTCAATAACCTACGACGCTTAGAACTGTCATAAATCAAGTATGCTGCAATCTTCTTCACAGGGAATTGAGGCCCAATATATAAAACAAGCTCCACCAGATCACCAGGTTGAACACTTGAAATGATACTTTGCCATTCCGTGTCTTCATGGAAAGTTGCCGAGTCTCCCTTGCAGTGTTTAACATAAGCCTTCGTGTAGTTAATGATCAGAACATTGATGATGAGAAATCGAGGGCTTCTGTTATCCATGAAAGAAGAATACACAACATTGAGAAGCATCGCTTTCAAGTGACAACCTATGACTTGAGGCACCTTAAAAATTACAGAATGTCCTTCACCCTTGTAGATGAACCAATCAGGATACTGATCACCAGGTAGGTGAGAACCACCCCACCCACCATTATTCCATCCCTATATATTGCATCAACACAGGAATCAAGGGCTTGTATTTAGGTACTTATACAATGATGTGGCCCAAAAAAGGGAAAATAAAATATCGACTCCCTTCATTTTCACATACTCATTAGACTTGTGGGAAGTAATAATGCATCTGTCCGGTGATAGTGTTCGTTAATGAAACTATAGATTTTTCATGCATGTAAGAAATATTGATGTAAGTTAGGTTCTTCAGATAACTCATATTTCCAAACATGATTGGGGGTAGAAAAGAGAACAAAGACAAACCTGTAGTATTCTGTCTTTCAATATGTCTATTTTGCTGCTCTCTCTCATTTGAATTAGAAGAGAATAGAAGGAATCCGTTGGTCTTGCATTGTTAACTTGATCATGACCGACAGATGATGCAGAAGCTCCCACGTATGAGAACTGTGATGTGCTTGGCGTGGATTCCAATTCCACGAAGTTTGTCCCATACAAGGCATCCAAAAGTCTCGTCAATTCTCCATTGGATTGAGACTGTGATCGGCATTCCTCCCACATACCTCGAAGCTTGGCAAGATCGCCTAGAAATGGAGATAGGCCATGAAAGCCGCCATTCTGTACAACAGAAAAAACTAGAGATGACATCCTCAGCAAAAATGCTTCACTGCTGGACTGGGGAATATCAGTGGGTGACATCCAAGACCATATGAGAGAAGGAAATACATCTTGTGCTCTTCCTTTAAGGCCTGGGAAAGATACATATCCATGTTTAAGCGCTTCCAATCTTACTAATGACTTGGGTACTACTGTTATGGCAGTATTATCTGCCTTTAGTACTGTCATGGATTCCATCTGCTCAATATCTTCTTCTAAATGGTCAACCAACGAACAACCAGAAAGAATGAGAGTTTTTACTGATTTCAACTTGTAGATGCTTCTAGGAAGAACCCTTAGACACTTGCAGTCTTCTAGATTTACCAAAATGATTTTTTTTAGATCTCCAATGCTTTGGTGAACTATCTTCAAGCTCCGACAATCTTTCAGTACTAGCTTTTCAAGATTTGGCAGGTTTGTAAAATCAGGAGTTTGTCTCAAGTAAGGTGAGTGACTGAGAATGAGGATTGTCAAACACCGCAACAACTGCAAAAAAATGAAGTTTCATGTGAAAAATTAATCAAATTATAATACTAACGTCTTAAAACATTTGACAAGTGGGGAAAGACAAATTCATACCTGGGGCTTCTTCCAAACTAGCCTGAGGTTGCTGTATTTAAAGTCAATAGCAACTAAGTTTTTCTGATACAAGCTGTCAGGTATAGATTTTAAAGGAAATCCAGGCCAACAAAGCCACCTTAGCTTATTGGAAAGATGCCTATAATCTCCTTCAAGATTTACATACTCTAATTCGAGCAATCTGAGTTTTCTCATTGCCTTGAATGCCTTAGCATCAATCTCACATACTTCATGGGGCTTCTTTAAGGATAGGCACTCAATAACTTTTGTTCCCTGTTAAAACATACAACAAAAATTTTACAGGAAAAAGAAATATTCACCATTTGCTAAGATAAAGACAATACACTAATTATACATGATGCTTATGACAAAGGGAATATGGAACTCGTAAATTGAAGCAACAAAAAGGAAGAAAGTACATAACTCTTGTTTTCTAGTGGAAAAACAACGCATGTTCTTTGACATTAGAGCTTGCAAAAGAAAATAAGAAATGAAAGAAATCTTTACTGTGTTTTGCATTAACACTTTAGTTACATCCTCCTGAAACCACAATCTACTGCGATCCTCGAGGTCCTTTCGTGGGCTTCCACAAATGATTTCTCTTCCCATATCACGTAATAAGTCATGCATTTCAAGCTTGTTATTCTTCCTATTAAAATTTACTAGGCATCGCTCAATGAGGGTTGTTATTCCGATTTTTGCTTTAAATCCACATCCATTTAATATATGCGTCGCATAGTTTCTATCCTTATTGATAAAGAAGCAACATATGTCAAGAAATATATTCTTCTCCATATCATCCTTTAATCCATCAAAACTTATTTTTAACTTTGCTTGTATCTCATCATTTGGAATCCTTTCTAGTTTGGACAACACATCCTCCCATTCTTCAATTTCTCTATCAAACAAATAAGAACCAAGGACTTCAAGAGCCAGAGGAAGTCCTCCGCAGTAAGCAACTACACTTTTAGAAAGTTCTATGAAGTTTTCAAGGGGAGCTTTTTGTTTAAAGGCATGCCAACTGAAAAGCTCGAGTGACTCAATTTCATTCATTGTTTCCATTTTATACTTGTGATCAGCTCTAATGACACTAAGCAGATGCAGATCTCTAGTTGTTATGACTATTATACTCCCAGGACAAAACCATTCAAGACTTCCACATAAAGCGTTTAGCTGATTGACGCTATCCACATCATCCAATACAATAAATGCTTTTATGTGGGGAAGTCTTTCTTGAAGTATCTTTATCCCTCTATCAATGTTAGGTATCTTGAAAACTTCTGTATTAATGATATCAGAAATGAGTTGCTCTTGCAAATTAACTAGGTCATTAGAATGCTTTGAATTTTCTCTTATCTGTGCAAGAAAACTTCTTGCTCTTCTAAATGTACGACCAATTGTATTGTAAAAGGCTTTGGCAACAGTTGTTTTGCCAACGCCTCCCATCCCCCAGAGGCCAATGATAAGAGCCTTTGTTAATGTCTTTTTTGACAATTTACTTGTCAATTTCCGAACTTGAGACTCTATTCCTACTGGACGCTCAGCAACAAACAATTGTCCAGCATCTACTTTCTCTAAAACATCCTTCACAACGGTATCAAGCAGCTCAACTTCAGACCTGTCAATAATAAATGTCCATGAAACAATACGATCAACCACATAAATAGCATCATTATCAGAAATAAAACCGATAAGACTTACTTTAAACAGAAGAATTTTAGTGGACCATTAAGAATAAGAGATGGACCAATTTAGCTATTAAATATGTATATGCATCATAGGAAAAACTTTCAAGCGTTGGATAAATCGCTAGGCATTAATTTCTGGAACCGAACAGAAGGCTTCAAAAAGGAGGCCAATGGCACAAGGAGGCTATTGGAGCTTTGTTATCACTCAGTTTTTAACTCTTCATATATTTTTAATTGGACCTTCATCTGCTCATATTTAGCACAGAATTACAGTATTATATTAGAATTAGTTATTTGTCCAAAATATTAGAATTAAATATTTGTCCGTGGCTGCAAGAGCAAAACAGGCAACGTAATTATAATAATTTCTCTAACATTTTCAAGTGCACGATGAATTTATAGCGATAACTTTTAAAACTCACATAAATTTATTGTAAAATAAGAATAAATTATACAAACTGCTTTTTTTTTTTTAAACGCATAAATTTTACTTTTATTTTCTAGACATATATAGCCTTTGTTTAACCTATATAAGAAAAATATAAAAGACTTCTAATTTTACTAAGTTATATAATTTTTTTCTATTGAATTCTGTTTCGTTTTAAAAAATAAAATGGTTAATACAAACTTTGCCCTTCAAGTCTACCTACATGGTTTCTTTTCATTTAAAATATTAATCTTTATAATTTAATAAAAATTCAGATTATTTTACCTCTTGAGATACCAAAACCTATGATTTGAAATTTGAATAACTAGAGAGACAAAAAAATTATATTAACCTTAGAATAAAATTATGAAAGCATTCTGAGTTTGACGCATCGTAATTTCCTTTTCTTTCCTTTTCTTTTCTTTTTTTTTTTGGGTCTTTTAATGAGAGCTGGTTTGGAATTCGTTACCGAAATGTTCCGGAATCAAACCCGGAAAGGTTGCTGATTTCTGTGAGTGCCTGCCTCCACCGCAACACTTGGCGATCACCGCCCCCTCCCAACCTTAGCTCATGTCGTTTCATCGCTTCACCATATGTGCCTGTCTGTTTACGAACATGAGACGGATCTGTGTTATAGAATATGGGAATAACCACCTGAGCTGCAGATTTTCGACACTCCATTATATTCACCAGTTCATCCAGACACCATCTGGAAGATGCATAATCGGGAGACAAAATTACCAGCGCAATTCGTGATCGTTCAATTGCTTGCAATAATGAGGCAGAGATCTCTTCTCCCCTCTCAACGTCTACATCGTCCATGAAAGCATGGATCCCTGACCGTCCTAGAGCGCTATAAAGATCAGAAGTAAAACCGTCACGAGTGTCCTCGCCCCTAAAACTCAAGAACAAGTCGTAAGTCCAGGAAGAACTAGAAGAAGAAGAAGAAGCCATGGGTTATTGAGGGAATCAAGCAGGAGGCCAATCAATAAAACGCTTCAACGGATCGATCACAATTCATCACAGGATGGAGAATATCGATGGGGTATCGACGGGAGTGTGACTTCATAATTGATTCCTTTATTAGTCGCCCACGTCTGAATACTTTTCGTACAAACAAGTCAGTCAACTATAACTGTTTTTGGTCCCCAGAAGTCGGGTTAATGTATCGCGTCTTTCCTATTAGGCTTTTGGGCTTATTCTCTCCCATTGATATTTTTTAGGGGCAGGGAATACGGGACCATTGACAACGATGGCGGCTTAAGATTAGGCAATACTGGTTTTTTTTTTAAAAAAAAAAAACTGTGATAATAATGAGTTTGACAGTACAGGCTAATCTATCTATTGATATATAATACTAGGGTACAAAGCAAGAATTATTGCAGCACGACAAATCGCATCACTTATGAGTAGATAAATGTTTTTCTTTTTTTTTTTAAAAAAAAAAGCCACATTTTTTACCCATGTTGCTAATAGTCCTATATATCCGCTTAAATTGGCCGCTTAATATTTAAATTGATTTATAAATGGATAAATTACGGGAAGAACTATATTCGCAAAATCCGGAAATGTGTGGCAATTTTTTATTATATATTTATGGGCAATCTTCTAAAAGAAATCCCTAATAATTATAATTGTATCTTTTATTAATTATTAATAGACCTAAAATATCAATAAACCACAACCTTAGAGCCTGGGCATCTTCACATATTTTTAATTATCATTTGACTTAAAATAAAAATCTAGAATAAATATTTTACTCTTTCTTGCCATTTGAATTATTTTGGTTGAATTGTTTGTTCTTAAAATAAAGATCTAGAATAAATATTTTAAATTTTAAATTTTAAGTTACAAATATATGAAAATGACATAACTTCCCCTGATTCACCCCGATTTATTTGGATGCACGATTTCATATTTTCTAACTAGATTTCTTTCGATAATGCTTCATTAAATCATGATTTTTGCTGTCTTGTCTGCAAATAGTTATGTTTTAGATTTCAACTCCTCACCACTTCTTCAACGATGCTTCCTTCATCTCTATCTTACCATCCATATGTCAAATTTTACTCTTTATTTTACATCAGTCATGTATAGCCTTGAAAGAATCAAAATCCCATTAATCCTAATATTTTGATTTTGATTTTATTTTATTTAGCAACTGTTTTAGATTTTCTTTGATTTTGAGTGTGAATGCTGAAATATAGAGACTACGGCAAAATCTTTTTCTTTAACATGCTTATCATTTTGGTTTAGTTTCAGAATCCTTGGCATATTAATCTGCAAAATGGTCGGGGGCGAAAAGCTGCCACATATATATTGGAACTTCAAGAAAGCATAGCTTCATTACATGTGCGTTTCAATCATTCAATCTTTTGCTTTTGTTCATTTTTCTTGTGCCTATTGTATTGTTTGTATTCCAAGATGTTGGCCACATAACTTTCATTTAAAGTGTAATGCTGCATAAAACTTTCTAAAATTTCTCATCCAATAATTTGAGTTTCTCAACGTTTTTGATGAACATACAAAACATGATTTACATGTAGGAAGATGACAAGGCTTTGCAGCCTGCTTTTTAATTAAGAAAGGCTAGTCTTTTCTTTGAGTTAATCAACTAGATGCTTCTTTTTTTCTTTTTCAGTACCGATGGGTTAAATTTGAAGGCCAGCTTCTTG